AATATCAGAAAGAATATAAAGATATATGCTCCTGCCACTTCTATTCAGTATTTCCCTGGATGTTCTAGCCAATGCAATATGGAAATGATGAGAAATAAAAAGTCCACATTGAAAAGAAGTAAAACTGACTTTTTGTGAAATGATCATCTACCTATATAGCGATTAAGATGCAGCCTGCAATGAAGTTACTAGAACGAATGCATTTAGTCCAGTTGTAAGATACAGGATCCCTATACTCTTATCAACTGTATGCCTATATACAAGTAACAACTAATTAAATATTAAAATTTTAAAAAGACTATGAATAGCATCGATAATGTAAACTAGGGATAAAAGTAACAAAATATGCAAAAGAAATATGTACTAAGAATATAAATTATTGCTGAAAGTAAAGATGACTTAAAAAGTTGGAGACCACATTCACGGATTGGAAAACACTGTGAAGTTGTGTGTCTTCCCAAAATTGAATAAACTGAATCCCATTCAAAAAGACCATCATGAATTTATGGTAAAAACCTACAAAATTATTCTATTATTTTCAACAGAAATTCAGAACGCCTGGATGAGCAAAATATTTTAAATGATTATAAATAATCAAGGCAGTGTGGAACTAACAAAAAAGAGACAAATAAATCAGTGAAACAGAATAGAGAGTCCTGAAATAGACTCACATAAATATGGACAACTCATGTTTAACAGTGGTTTAAAGCAACTCAGGATAGAAGGAATTAGTCTTTGAATAAGTGGTGCTGGAAAAAATGGCTATAGGAAAATTCCATAAACAAAAAATTAACCTTAATGCATCCCTCACATTTTTTATATAAAATGTAACTCAATCTGGATCATATGCCTAAATATAAAACTTAAAGCAATACATATTTTTAAGACGACTAAGAACAAGCCTTTTATGACCTTGAGTAAGGCAAAAATTTCTTAGAACCAACAATAAAACATGATCCACCAAAGAAATTTACAAACTGGACTTCATCAAATTAAAAACTTCCTTTTGAAAGATACTGTTAAGCAAATGAAAAGATAAGCCACAGAAGAATATAAGAGCCTAGGAAAAGTGTTTGAAAATCATGTATCTGATATAGAACTTGTATTCATAGTATCTTATCAAAACTAAATAATAAATTAAAAATAAGCAAAATATTTGAAGAGACATTTAACTGAGCACATATGGGTGGCACATCAGCACATGAAAGGATGCTGAACACATTTTTGTTAAGGAAATGCAAAATAAAACCACAATGGAATACATACCGATTAGGATCACTAAAATTAACACTCATTATGCCAGTTTTGAGGAGCGCGCGGGTGAACTGGGCTGTTCACACAGTGCTGATGGGATGGGCAGAGGCGCATGTAAGGTCTGCGCATCAGTTCACAGTCTTATCTGTGACAGAACCGTCAGAGCCTGAGTGTCCTGCAGTGCGTGAATAAACACAGTGCATTGAATTCCTGGAGCGGAGCGGGGTGCTCTTCGCAGTGAATGGGAATGTACTATTGATGCATGATTCTCAAAATGATTATTTGAATCAAAGAAACTAAGCAGAAAAAAATGACATACTTTATAGCCCCATTCTTAAAATCCTAGACCAGCCGCATTGCTCTGTATTGGCGGAAGCAGGCGGGGGGAGCGGGGCAGGAGGGGGGAATTGCAGAGGCCTGGGGAGACCGGCACCCGCGATGCGTCTGTTACGCGTCTTGACTGTCGTGATGGTTTCTCAGATATATGCAGATGTGAAAACTTACTAAATAGGTACTTTAACAATATCTAGCTTATTTTAAGGTCTTTTGTATTTCAATAAAGCTGTTGAAATAGAAATTTTAAAAAATGGAACAGAATTTTAAAATATCCCAATTCAAAGGAAGCTCAGAATCCATTGAGCACAACGCTTTCCTGTGGCAGGTGAGGAAAGCAGGCTCAGAGAGGAAAACAACTGCAACAAAATCACCTGACTGTGTTCCTCTTCCCTGACACAAAATGTCATAGTTTCCCTGCAGTAGTGTAATCATCATTCTAAAGAATCTTTTTCCTCTTGAATTAAACCAGAAATGCTTTCTCCTAACAGATATATTGTCAGCTCCATATTAGCTTATATTATCCTGTAGATGCACTTCTGTCAAACCATACATAACATTTTTGTTTTTATTATTTTTTGGAAATAGAGACCAATTTAATCATCCGTGTTAAGAGGTAATCCTGCTTGTGTTTATAAGGTAAGAGTTATAGTAGCAGTAGCAGAAAAGTTCACTTGTTATCCATCAATGTAATTTTCCAAATAGATATTTCCCCTGGGTACTCCCCTCAGAAACACACTGTTCCTGCTGCCAACGCTACTAGGGAATGTGGTGGCACAAACTCCTTTTGTCAAACTTCCTGGAAGCACCAGATAGGAATTATTTTGGAATTTGCAGACCATGAGGTCTCTATCACAACTGCTCAGCTCTGCCGTTAGGGTGCCAAAGCAGCCAGATACATGAAAACAAGTGTCTGTGTTCCAATAAAACCTTATTTGTAAAACTCATAGAGGGCAAGATTTGGCCTGTGGGCGGCCTTTTGCTGACCTCTGCTCTAAACTGTGAAGAACTAAATAAAAATAAGTTTTCAAGGTTTAAACTCAGGGAGTGTTTGCCTACTAATGATAAGGGTGATGACAGCATTGGCGATATTAACATCACCTACACCTTTCTGAGCTCTACAGTGAGGGATCTAAATATGTTGGCCCCTACATTCATAATAACAACTTTATGAATTAAATGATACTACTCTTATTTTACAAATAAAGAAACTGACCTCACAGAAGTTTAGTAACTTGCCAAAATCAGTATAATAATCAATAGAGGGGAAAATTTAAAAAACAGGCTTTTCTGGCTATTAACAACCAACCTCTAAGTTAAACTATTGATAACAAACTCACTTAAAGGAATGTCTTTGTTTCTGGAACACTTTGGGCATTTGGTCCCTCATATTAATCCTCTCATGAAGTGGAGTGGAGAGTTGAGTAGCATCCAATCTTATTAATAAAAATAATGATGGGACACACTAAGCCAAAAGTGACCTCACACTTAATAGACTATGAGTGCGTTATCTAAATAACTCTGCAGACTATTTTCACTTTGGCTTCTTCATATCACTTCAATAAAGGATCAGGATTAAAAGTGTGATTGTTAATAATAATACCTTTGGTATTGCATCACACAGGTTATCTAATTGAATCAACTCTCAAGAAGTGCGTGGGCTAAGCATTATATCAGGGCTCATGACTGTTTAGAGTATGCTTTGATAAAGCAGAAACAGGACTGAGAACAGCTTGAGAGACCTAGGCAGCACCTAGCAATAGGGGCCCGGGTGTTAGAGATTCCAAAATCAAGGGCATCCACTGTAGAAGAAAATAGCAACAGGCAAAGAGGATTATCTAAGAAAATCAAGTGAGGCTGTATAAAGTGAAGAGTTTCCTGTGGTCACACACAAGCTGAGAGTAAGGAACCCAGGCAATCAAGTTGTGATGGAGTTTAACATGGAGTGATGTTAAAATAGCAACAATAAATGATGAAAGCTGTTGGTGAGGCAAAATTTCTTTGATCTAGTAACTCATTACAAAATTCCTTCTTGGGCAAAACAGGTGTTAGAAGCAGGCAGTTTCTAAACTCTAATATAAATTTAAAGCAATGATTTTCTATTTATAGACGGTGTACATTGCTGATACAGTAGGTGGTCTGACACGGCTGAAGTAGGAGTGAAATAATAAAACACACATAGAACTGACAGTCTGTATTCTCATGGAAATGCCTTCCATAGTGGAAGGGACACTGTATTTTTCAAAATTTTATTCCCTGCCTCTAGCACAGTGTCTGACATGTAGTAAACACTTAAATTTTTGATGACTGAATCAGAATGAATGGAAGGATAGTTGGTTGGTTCTAGAAGTGAGTAAAGGTGAATAAATGTAACCTGACAGACATTCAAACAAAAGGATTGGGAGGGAGTTTGGATATCCTTATGTTAAATTGTTTCATTTAACAGATAAATAAATTGTGCCTTAGAATGATCAGGATTCAAGTTCCAAGTTGATCCGTGAAGTAGCCCTGTCATCTTGTGAGTACTTTTGTTCCTTGTGATATGTAAGATAGTGAGATACAATGTTTCTAAGTTTGAGAAAGAACCATTTTAGTTACAGTAAATATTATTTAATTGCTATAAAAAGTACATTGCTAATGGCTATTATTATAGATTATGATAAAAATAATTTCAACTTACTTTAATTTTGTGCAATTATACTCACCCCTGTGACAATCTCTGTGTAGGGTTTTTATAACTTGATTCATTGTCAAATAACCTGACCACGCCTCTAAAACTTGACATATGAAAGCCTATATTATTTAAAACCTTTGAAAAAATAAATTACACAAAATTACCTAAGTGAAAGAAAAACCTTCCAATTGTACACGAATTCCTTCAGGTACAGTGCTTTTTTAGCAACTCGGTGATGGTATTCCAAAACTGAAGACAGTCTCCCCTTTCATTACACAAAAGCATATGTGGAAACTGCATTCCTATACAGACTTAAGCATTTGACACAAGTGAGAAATAGAGAAATATGACTTCAACATAAAGCAATTTATGCCTTAATTTTTAAAAGTGACATTTAAAAAAATCTATTCCATTTTAATAGTTTAAATGCTTTTGTTATTAATTTCTTGGGCAATAATCACTTTAATGCTTAATTGAATCAAACT